GGGGGGGTTGGAAAGGGGGGGGTACTCATTTTTTCCAGACTTGGCTGTTAGACTTTTGACCACGCGTCCTCGAGAGTCGTGGGGGGTACTCATAGCCGTGCATGCGCGTATTCGTTGGACCACTGACGTTAGCGGGGGGTCAAACTTTGAATATGTGGGTCACCAATCGTCGGTGGGTCGTTGGAAAGGAGGACTCCACCCCTACCGAGGTTTCGGCACCAGGGGCTCTTGGGGTCGAAACATTCCAGCCACATGGTGCAAAACAAAAGACGGTACCGGGAGAAAACAAGAAAATTACGTTCTTTTCATGGGTCAAGGCGAATCCAACTCACCGTCAAGACTGGAATAATCCAACCACACGGTAATAGACGTAAAAATCAACCAACAATACCGCTAATAGAACACAGGCGAATTACGTTCTGTTTCATGAAAAGACGATACTAAACCCACCACATGTGCGAAGAACGAGCGACGTGGTCCTTCGTCGACAAACACGCCTGTGCCACGGTTGCAGAGCTGCAGCTCGTTTATCAATCATGCTGTGCACCTGATTCTGCGCTCTAAATAAACCAAGGTCGCGGCGCGGGCTTGCCCCACAACCCAAGCTCGAGGGATGCTCCTCGCACCCACCTGAAGCTGGCAAGGCACCCCAGCGATCGCATCAGCGACTCCTCCGGCCCCGCTATGTCAGCGGCCAAACCCGCGGCCGTAGCCGGACTCCCGCCTCCGGCACCGGACTTCCCGAGAAGGGCAGAGTCTTCCACCGACGATAGTCGCTTGCAGGCATCCGTAAACGAGGCTTCGTCTACCAGGTAGGGAGGCGCCAATTTCGTCGCCCAGAGGTTGTTGCTGGTAGTCGAGTTTCCGGGTGCCCTCTGAGCGGTTTCTGGCAGGGGCTGCAGACTTGGTTCCGACGTCGCCTGCGCCACCATCAACAAGCGTGGATCTCAATCCATGCAGCGTCCGTAGGTTTGGCATGGAACCATCACGATGATACCATCATCAACAACCAACACGCATGGTTCTCATTCCATGCAGCGCCCAAAGGTTTAGCAGGGAACTACCACCACTGCCATCATCAATAACCAACACGTGTGGTGCTTTTCCGTGAGCCTTAGAGGGTGGACTAAACCTTCTAGGGAGAAAAACAAACTAGGATAATTCTACTCCGGCGGAATTATTGGATTGAGCCTTCTAGGGAGAAAAAAATCAGGGTTGTTTATCCTCCGGCACAGCAGTCTCCTTGTGAAAAAGTACCTGCAAGATGTGATGCAACAGGGCCACCCGAGGCGATGCCTCCAGCGCCACAAACTCCCGGGTCGACGTGCTCAGCCCCTCCAGCCGCGTTACGCGCACCTTTGAAGACGAACGAGTGAACCGCAAAAAAAATAGGTTGGGCGCACACGTGTGACACCCGTCACCAGGCACACAGGGCAAAACATGGTACAAAAACAGGAGATAAGGGGGTCCGACATTGCTTGGACGGTAACAGACGTCAGCCATGGTCGAAATGTCTCCACTTGGTTCGAGAATGATCCATCTGTTTTCCTGAGAGAAAAAAAATCTAGATGCCATGGGCGGAGGAGGAGAAATTTTATCGCGCGAAGGATAGAGTCAGTTGTCATGTACTTTGCTCGTATAGGCTCGCGAAGTTGGCGAGGCCTATGGCGTTTTTTTGTCGGTCTGTCGAGTTCAGAAGCAACAAATGGCGCGCTTCATATCGCGTTGGGAGTATTTTTGGCTACTGCCATGCTATGTTGAAAACTCCTAGTTCCAAGCTGGCGGTCGGACCAACACGAGATTTGGCGAACAAGCTTGAGAGTTTGCCCATCGAGAACAGCACAAACCTGTGAGCCCGGCTCTCGGAACGCCCGCAGTACAGCGTTCGCGGCTTCTTCTTCCCCTGAGGATCGCATCGTGTGGGTTGGCACAGTCGTTCGCGTTGGAACGGTCATGTACGGATTTTGCAAGAGACGGTGACTCTAGTCTATATTTGCAGACGAATCAGATGTGTTGGTTTCTTTTAGTTACACACTTAGACAATAACGACCGATTTCGTTGCAACTGATAAAGGCAGTTGGGGGCGGGGGGGAGGTTCTTACATGTCCCATAGACGCGTGGTAGCTCGAGTGCTCCACGCTGCAGGGTGACAGAAAACATCACATGCAAGGTACGTTATGGGAGAGAAAGAACAAGCGAGTGGGCGGATTGGTCGGCAACCAGCGAAGAGGTCACAACCCGGAGTACAACACCATAGTACTGTGGGCTTCGTCAAACGCAACACAGTTTGCGCGCCACTCCCCTACAGTCCCCGACAGCAATGGTCATACTGCTTATGGTTGTTGGAAACCCCTCCCCCGGCCTCCAACATCGTGGTCAGTGGAAACCCAACGCGCGCGCTTTGTGCTGCGATTTTGTAGAGATGCGACGGTGCACTGTCTGAAGACGACGGGGTAAGCATGCATTTGAGTACCCCCCCCCCCGCCGCCCCCCGGTGTTTACCATCGGGGTTGGGTTTTCGTCGCTTGGCAACGACGTTGTAAAACAAGCCGCCCCTCCCGGTGTTTGCCATCGGGGTTGGGTTTTCGTCGCTTGGCAACGACGTTGTAAAACAAGCCGCCCCCCCC